GACGAGAAACAAGCTTCTGGTCACAAAGTTCAGAAAGATCGTATCACAATTTTCCCATGTATCAATGCCACAATGAAGAAAATTTATCACCGTAACATGTTGCGTGCCATTGTTGATGATGCTAATGAAGACAAAAACTTGCAGGAAATCATCAAAACTTTCACAGTGAAGGACGCATTGTTTATGATCGTCGACGGTTGGGATAAAATAAAACCTTCGACCATTCAGGGGTGTTGGTTCAACGGTCTTCGCGTTGGTAACGATCGTAGCAGTGACGTCATTACTAATGGCGACTTCGTCAACACAGACATCGTGGAAAGTTGCCGTGAGCTCGGACTTGGCGAATTGAACGCAACTGAGATCGATGAATGGATCAGTAGTGACAACAACATCAGTTCAGAGACATTTTCCGAAGAGGAAATAATCGACATTGTGACAAATAAAACACAAGAGACAGCCATTGAGGAAGACATCGCAGAAAAGGAGAATTTAGCACCAGCCAAACCCCCGATCTCAGTTGCCGATGCCGTCAATGGGTTACAGCTTTTCATGGACTGGTACGAAGCTCAAGATACCGCGGAACCTATCAAATTAATGCAACTTCACCCAATGCAGGGTTCGAAATACTCGGGTGCACACTGCACTATGCACATAGATTATTAGCTAGTGCAAGTAAACTCAAAATCCAATGTGCACGTTGTGCATGTAGAAATTAACACAACATTTTCTCATTATATTCACTAAGCCTAAATTAGTTTTAACCAATATTGTAAAAAAACTCAAAAGCACAAGTGAAAAAAATCAAATTCGTCCGTGATCGCATTGTTCGTGAACGCATCGATCGAGAACCCGGAAGTAAATTGGTAGCGTACTCGCGTACATTGTGAGAGTACTTTGGGTCTCGCGTGACCTCAGAACAACATACAAATTTGCGCATGCTCGGTAGTCGCGTGTCATTCGGTTGGTATACAATCATGTCAAAACAACGAAGCCTTTTCGAGTGTGGACTATTGACATCGTTAAAAAAATCTGAGACGGCTGAATGCCCAGTATCTCAAGCAACAAAAAATCATCCCGATAATGGAAACATTTCTGAACAGGATGTAGTACTTGGACACGTTTCTACCACTGAAGGAAATGTTGAATCTCAGCAGAGTACGAGTGCGGCATCATGTGTCAACACTGGGGACCGCGACGCGAGTACTTCGTTTGACTCGGTGATTGAGTCGCCACCCACTAAGAAAAAAAAAGTTTATCGTTTT